ATTATCGATAGAGAGCCCGAATCTATAGCTTTTAGTTTTGTCTGTCTGTCTATCTGGGAACGTATCACGAGTAAACCACAGGACAGATTTTGATGAAATTTTGTTTGGTCATAGCTGGTTATCCGCGTCAACATATAGGATACATTTTACTGCGGAAAAATATCTCTGAGTAATCTATACTGACCGTTAAAACATATCCAGGGACGAACCCGAGTGGAACGAAGGCTATACTAATATCATAAAGAGGTAAAGTGGAGTTTTGTGTGATTGTCAGTTTGGGAGTTTGTGACGTTGTAGGGGGTAATCTCTGGATCTACTGAACCGATTTAGATGAAATTTGGTAAGAATATAGTATGAGACTTTGGGAAGGACATAGGTTTCTTTTTATCACGAAAATCATCCCTTAACGGGGTGAAAATGGGGATGAAAGTTTGTATTGGGAACCAAGCTACCTAAAAAAAATAGTGTAAAAAGAAACTACCAAGTCTTGGTTTCTACAATTCGTATGAAAAAGGAATTGCAAAATTTATATAAAATTTTAACGCGTGTCTCTTTTAAAACACGGAAGAACTTCATTCCCACACATGTTTAGGAAGAGAAAAGAGGTTTCGGGTCACTCAAGAAAAAGCTCGTAATAATCAAAGAAGTATGATAATTATTATATGTCATATTTAGTCTATACTGACTAATAATTTAAAAAAAGTAAACCGACTTAAAAAAATAACTAAAAAGTAAAAAATTATTGAACGGAGATTTTCATTTCATCATCATTCATAGATATTCATACGTTTAAGTATTGTCGTGTGGCACCGATTTCGAAAATATTTGATTAGGTATCTATAGTAAAAACCCCCTTTCAGTTAACACAAATTGTTTTAGTAATAAGTAGTAATTACAAAAAGTATTTCAGTTTTAGTTACACGTTCATATCATAAAACTACTAACTAAAAAACTACTGAACCGATTTTGATATTGACTTTACTATTCCCTAAGTTGAAATAAATGTAAGCAAATAAAAAAAGAATGATCAACGATCCGATTACTAGTTTCGGAGAAATGCATAGACAAAGATATAATCATACATACAATTATATATATACATACAGTTACACCTATAAAATTTTGTATATTTATTTGGAAGCCGTAATATATTATCATATGTGAATATTTTGCAGTTCCAATAATATTACATACATACGTGTCAAATTGATAACTTCCTTTTTTTTAAGTCGGTTAATAAAATATTTGAATTTTAATAGGTATTTTACTGTATACATATGTAGTACATGTACATAGCATTTTGCATATATCGTAATTACTTATTAGTAATTGGTGCAGCTGGTTAGTGTAACAAATCATGTAAATTATAAGCAAATTGGATGTATTGCGTAAATGATTATGTACAAATTAACGTTGGTCATAGAAGCCGGAGCAGCGTACTGAAGCCGACTAGCGGTACGCGGCGCGATGGCATCGCGCTCGTGCGCCACCGCTCACGGCGGCCGCCGGCGCTCGCGTCGCCGTGACTTATGGCCTCCGCGCGAACTTCGATCGTCCGATTGAATAATAATATCCGATTCCCGCACACCGAATTTATGTTAGGAAGTGAGCAGTGTCCCGTATCGACAAATACATCGCCTGTTCAATTTCTAACTAGCCGCTTGCCTCCAAGCGCTGATACTCGCGATACCCGATAAATAAATTTTCCAGTTTCTCTAGTTGTTGTCGGCACTCCTTCACCTTATGCTGCTTCAAGTCTATTCGCGTCTAGCTGTAGGTCAAATACAATTTTTTTTTGTATATTTTTTTGTTTTGTAGCGTAATATATATATAGACAATGACGATACGTAACTGAATTTGCAACTGTATCAAAAGTAAAATGTAATTGTATTACAAATGACCATGAAAATCACTAGGAATCCCGATCATTAAAATTACCAACAACCGCTGCTCTCATTTGGTACCGAAATTAGTTACTAAAGTGCTTAGATCATTTTCTTGCCACTTACTAAATTACTTTAAGTTCAACGCTCCAAAAGATTTGTATTAAATTATGGGTTCACACGTCTTATGTTTTCACTTCGGCTTGTAATCGTGACCACGGTACCTAATTACCTCCTGGATCAGTGCAGGCTGGAATTTGGTTTGTTCTTACCGTTACAACTATTTACTCTTTGTAATAAGCCGCATGAGAATTTTCTTATTTATATCTGTTAAATGACCATTGAATATATAATATAGTAATGTCATCCAAATGCCACTAATAATCTACAATGGCTTTGCTTAATTTTTTTTAGTATATTATTTTATTTTTTAATTTATTACCTGTAATAAGTTTATTTCAAAGACATATTTATATCACATTTTTTTGAAATTCTTATTTAAAAATCTATTTTTTACTATAATATAACGATTAGGCGCAATTTCTGCACATCGGGCATAGAAATTATCATTCTATCTACAATATTCCACTTCTATTATCTTCATAAAACCATGTGCTGTATCATCTATGTACATTCTAGCAAAAAGCTAAATACAACACCGCTGAGTCTCTCCAGCTAGATAGAAACCGCTATTATTTTACCAAAAAACTTGTAATTTACTTTTGATTACAGAGCAAAGGGGCAATTATATTAGTCATATTATACGGCATTGTACGCAAAGTGCATTATCGATCTAAATAGCCGAGACCTAATAAAACCTGAGTTCAAATTTTCATCTTCTTGCGGTACATACATTTCTTTTTTTACTTGTAACATGTACCTACTACATTTTAAAATATCAAATTATATCCACAATACATCATCATTATGTCGTAACGGTTGTATCAATTAATGTGATTAAATCGAGTAGGTTTCTCGGTCGATCACGTACGGCCGCTGCCGTGTATATTGTGTTGTCGACCGACAAGCAAAGCATTAACGTTTACTAATAAAGAGGAAAAACAAAAAAAACATGCTTTTTCAACTACTGCTATTTTTCTTTTAAATATTCTTATCTGACCTACCTACTACATATTTTTAATATAACAGCAATATCTCTTCAATTTGTTTAATGAACCGCTTAGTTTAGGTTTATGCTTGCAATATATTTTCCAAGTACATCACATTTCAATGCTTCATGACGTGAGCGTTTGAGCTGATCTTAATTATTATTCTTAACATTAGGAGTTTGAAAGCTGAAGTGATTTAGTTCAGCTTCTAAATGCCCTCCATTTCCAAGATGAAGTGCTAAGTAATTAAAACTCATCCATAAACTCTAGACTAAAGAATATATACATGGACTCCGCCAAAAAAATGTCAAACTCAAAAATAGTAGTGTTTTTGCTATTTATGCTTCTATTCTTAATTTTGCCATACAGTTTGTTTACTTTTTTCAAAGAATAAGGGAAATTTTATATAGGCGTTAGTCGTTATTTTACAATTTTGGAGAATAAAATATGAAAATAATGAGTAGTAAAAATGTCATTTTTATTTTAAACCATTAATTTTTTCAACTTGAAAGATAGCATGATAGCATGCAAGTATGATATTTATAACTTGTTTTCTAGAAAAAAAAACGGTTACTTATTTTTATTTATAAAAAAATATTTACTTATCACAGTGACGAGTACCTATTGCATTAATATTTATATACTGTTATCATTTTATATTTATAATTAAAGATAAACAAATAATATGTTTCATGCCGGTATTAGCCTTACCAGTTTTTAAATGTGTATTGCTTGCTACTTTACTATGTAATGTATAAAAAAAAATAAGTAGGCGTAATAACTTCATTTGCGCCGTAATCACATACTAAACTAACCGTGTCCTGCAATCAAACTCGTTAAATGTACATATATATGGAGCTATAATTATAACATTTTTTCTTTATATATTTATATACTTTGACTTTATGTTATACTATGTATGTATTTACTATTTATATAATACTAGCGATTCACCCTCGCTTCGCTCGGGTTCGTCCCTAGCTCCCTTCTTAATACAAACTTACATTCCCTATTTTCACCCCCTAAAGGGATGACTATCGGGATAACAAATCCTATGTCCTGTCCAGAGTCTCAAACAATCTTCTTACCAAATTTCATCTAAATCGGTTTTGTAGATCCAGAGATTACCCTCTACAACGTCACAAACTCAGAAACTCACAAATTCATAAACTTTACCTCTTAATAATAATAAGTATAGATTGTGCAAACAAAAATACTAAAATCGCGATTAAAGAATGGGGGGAGGGGGTAAAAGGGTGAAAAATACTTTACGACCTATTCTCATACCTACCAAATATACAAAAAAAATCATTAAAATCGATCGAACCGTTTCGGAGGAGTACGGCCACGAACACCATGACACGAGATATTTATATATAAGATTAAAATCGTTATTTTCTAAGTTATCTTATACTAGCAGAACCCGCGGCTTTGCTCGCGCTTAAACTACAAACAAATCTCTAAAAAGGTAGTTTCATACAAACTTTCATCCCCTATTTTATCCCCTTGTAGGATGAATTTCGAAAAATCCTAAAACACGTATTTATTTAATTTTATTGAAAAGCATTAATACTAAGTTTCAAGTAATAATTCTGATCATAAATATAGTTTTTGAATTGTATTATAACGTGTTTTCCCGTGGGAATTAGGTTCCAACTATCTCCACGCAAAAAATCACGCCAATCCGTCACTCCGTTTCGACATGAAAGAGGGACAGACAGACAAACAAACAAACACACTTTCATATTTATAATATTAGTATAGATATTACCAAATTAATTCTTATTCTAAACTATTCAATACAAAATAAACAATTTAGTATAAGATGTGTTATCTTTATCTTCGTAAATGTATTTCTATAGCAAGCAAAGTAAATATTTCATCGGAATATGTAGCCTCTTGATGTCCATTTAGTCAGTGCGGTCATTGTATGTGGTTGATATCGAGATGCGTTTCATCTATCTCGCTAACATTAGCATTATCAAAAGGACCGCTAGCGTCATGCTTATATCGATGAGGACACGCGACGGTCCCGGAAGTGAATGAAGGCAAAGCCCCCGACGGACGACGGCGATAATTCAACTTTGTATGGCTGAAATACAATGAGGATAACGTGCACCAGAGCCGCGCCGGTGGCAGTGGCGTCTGCCCTTCTACGTACGCTCTGAACTTTGTGCTCCGACACGTTTTTACTGTCTTCTATCTTCTAAATATAATAATTCAATACATAATCTATAACTTTGAATCTAAATAAGACTTTAAACTGTTGTTATATGAAATCATTACTTTTCATATTATAAAGTTAAAAAGTAATTGTATTCAGCCCTTTTTTTTAACGTCCCACTGCTGGGCACGGGCCTCCCTTCAATACGAGGGGGATTAGGCCATAGTCCACCACGCTGGCCAAGTGCGGGTTGTCGGACTTCACATGTCTTTCGAAAACTTGCTAGGTTCTCTCAGACATGCAGATTTCCTCACGATGTTTTCCTTCACCGTAAGACAAGTGGTAATCATGTTAGAAATGATTCACACATGGAAATACAGAGGTGCGAGACTCGGGATTTGAACCCGCTTCACTCGGTTTCCCAAGCGAGCGCGTTACCACTGGGCTACCACTGCCTAAAAAGTAATGCAGTATTGAAATATTTCACACACCTGCTGCTATAAGCATGAATAAGAATAGCTACATTTAGAAAGAAAATACAAAAATCAAGAAATATATAAGTTTAGTTTTTAACTGTTAATAAAGTGATATTACGCAGATAGCCAAAAAATATGGGAGTATGCCCACACACATGCTAAATTAAATATACATACTAGAGATAACATTGCAAGCGAAATTAAATTTATCATATACGAGATGGAAGCACAAAAGTTAAAGAGATGAAGGGCATAAATATTTAGTTTGTATGTATTTGAATTACAGTCTAGGAGGTACTCTTTCCTTATTTTTCACTGTCTGTCACTCCTTTGTGCGTTTAGTTGTGAAACAAGTCCGCACGAGACACTGACTTAGTTATCAGTATTTATGTACATAATTACGTGAGTTACCAAGCATATATTGTATGCATACCTTTTATTTATTCAAATTATCCCTTCCTGTACTCGGTGTTGTTAAGACTCAATTACTCTAGTGCTTTTTGTTATAATATAAAAGCTAATTGAAGCCAAAGAAAATGTTCAATTTAATAAAAATTTAAAGCTAACACACGCTTATAAAACTTGAACTGAAATCAAATTATACGTCCAGTAAGCATAGCGGAGGCTCAAAACGGCACATGGGTAGTTACCGTCAACGACCATTAAGCCAATGGACTTAATTATCAACAGTTACCACCGTACTGATACCAACCACAGACCATGCATAGCTGAGTACTCTTAGCAGGTATACTGACCAAAGCCATCATTATTATGTATTTCTCTATTAATCAATATGAATATTTCCCCCTGAAGAATGAGTATTTGAATAATATCTTGTATCTATTTAACAAATATTCGAATTATAAGAACGATTCTTAAATATAAGGGAAGCACATTTTTAAAGTAGTAGCTGGAGTGCAATATATAGATAAATTTAACTTAACAAAGATTTAAAAATTTTAACGAGATAATGACCTCTTTTTATGTTCTTGTCTTGTATACATATCTTAGCAGGCATTATTGTATATTATTTTTATTTTCTGCTTATTCTAGCTAGCACCAGTACTATTTATTGAGGCGAAATAACCGTTTCGGCACGATTTGCGATTTGAGAATTTACGACTTCCATAAATATTTGAAAATTATCGACACGTCAGAATTTCATAATTTAAGGTCATGTTCAAGAAACCGATACTTACCTTAAATATTGCCAATTGATTTGATTCAAGAAAATCATAAAACTCTATCGGCCTATAATATTCTGGATATTTATATGACATTTCACTCGTAATTATAGTCGCCAAATTACGTTTACATTCATTAGCGCCTGGGAATCAGCCTATTCAATTTTAATTGGCCCATTTTGTATCCACTTAATGTTAAGCTATTAAATACTACACATTTAATTCACACTTAATGAGATTTTGTCATTCTTCCTAATAAAGATGCTGGAAGATATGTGTTTTTCTATTACAATCATTAACGGACAAACCGCTAAACTAATTTCCATAAAATTTGGCTCATAATTGTTACTAAGCTTTGCTTATAGCAATTTACTATTAACCTGTCTCTCTCTATTTAAAACCGGACTTAAGTGAATATAATAAAATAAATAATACTTTTCTTGAAACAAATTCCAACAAAATAGCCTGAGGAAAAGGTTAAATATAAATTGATATTATGTTACTAAACTAGAGTTGATATTTAAGATACCTCATATCTCGGCAAAAGAGCTCCCGGCGGATAGCTGATAAAATTGTAGCTCTCGTAACTTGCGAAAACTATTGTACGGAATTTGATGTTACATTATTTCCATGACCTTTATTTAGTAATATGAAGTAGTTAGCTTTTTTAACATCCTAATGCTGGTCACGGGCTTTCCTTCAATACGAGGGAAATAAGGCCATAGTCCTCCACACTGGCTAAGTGCGGTTTGGCGGACTACACGTCTTTTGAAAACTTTCCAGGTTTTCTTTGATACGCAGGTTTCCTTACGATATTTTTCGTCACTGTAATACAAGTGGTAATCATGTTCAAAATGATTTGCACATGAAAATGTCAGTAGTGCGAGACCGGGGATTTGAACCCGCTTCACTCGGTTTCCCAAGTGAGCGCATTACCAGTGGACTAAAACTACGTAACTACCTTTATTTGTGAATGGTTAATAGACGACAAATTCGCAGATTGTAGTTAAAGTTTATTATTTTTTTTTCCACCGAGCTTTAGAAATATACCTAAATTTATTATTAGATACCATTTAATAATTCATCTCAGTGCGGAATTTGATTTTCTATTTTATAAATATCTGCAAACCGGAATCTTGTTTACTTCCTACATCGACATTAATGACCGGTTTAAATGCAGTTAGATAAGGGTTATAAAGAATGATCTGAGTTAGTATTATTGGCATATCTTATTTACCAACCTACAAGTAAAACTGCTTGCAATATCATCCTTCTTAATTGAGTTTATGCATTTGGAAAAAGAGACATACAATCATTTATCAATTAATTCATCAAACTTATTTTATTGCATAAACAATTTCTTTGAGATTTTTTTTTATTAACATACTACATTTTAGAACTTCTAATAACATAGATTTTAATAATATATGTATATAATATTATGTCGCTTTAAAATACGAATATGTAGTTCTATAAGTACCTTTTAAAATACCATAATAAATAACAAAAGCTCGAAGAAAGTAACTGAACAATGTTATAATTAAGTAAAACTATAAAATAATTTAAATAATATATGCGATTTCATAGACACTGTGATAAGCAAGTTAGTGCAAGGGCATGAAAAAAAGCATGCTTTACATCAGAAAAACTCCAAAAAATAAGCTACTCAGATATATGAGAAACATCAGGAGTAATAGATGCGCTGAGCTACTCAAAGAAATTAAAATGGCCTTGGGCCGGGCATGTAGCGAGATTAAGTGACGATCGCTGGACAATTCGACTGACGTCATGGCCAGGCTCCACTGGAAATAGAAAGAGGCAGACCTAGCTCCAGATGGGCAAATGGCAACACAGAAATCACTGGAAAACTATAGATGGAAAAAGCCACGGATAGAAACTATTGGGCATTTCTGGAGAAGGCCTTCTATACTCTTAAATAAGAGGGGTTCACTTAAAAAATCTATAAATTAATAATAAAACTAATTAATAAAAGTTAATAAACTAATAAAAATTAAATTAATAATTATTATTAAAAATGTAAATTATGAATCAATAATAATCATTAATTAATCAGTTGTTTATTATATTTAAATCATTATTAATTTTTAAATTATTAAATACTAATTTCAATTATTATATATCATTTATTTCTAACCACTGCATGTAACGATTATTCGATTTTTGTATAAGGCATATTTAATTTTTTTTTATTTCAAAAAATTGTGTTCTTCATCCAATCTAAGTGAAACAAAAGGTTTTTTATTTTATTTATATTAGCTACACTAAAGCTTATATAGCGGTATCATAGATAAATATTACAAAGCGGTCCCAGAAATCAAAGGAACGCGTAATTATTTGCAATCGCAAGCGTGTTAGGCTAAGTGCAAGCGGCGGCCGAGGGATCGGATGATCTCTCACATGATAGCGCGGCGCCGGATGCCGCGATAGAGTCGCCTCGCCTCCGCCCGTTCTCTAATTACGGGCACTAGCCTATGAAATATTCCGCTGATGTACCTGCAGCACACGCATTGTCTCCCGCTCTAGCGCTTCCGTATCACTCTCATATGATACGATCTTACCCACACCTAGTGTATAAATCAACCATTACTAACCGTATATGTCCCCAAAAACTTCATTTGCCATCTTTTTTTTAAATATGTAATTGCTTGCTGAATTGTGTGGCAACAAAAATTCTAAATAAACCCACAACAAATTCCGAAAAGATAGTTTTCATCATTTCTCACCTTATTATTTTAAACTAGCGGCTCACCCTCACTTCGCTCAGGTTCGCCTCTAGAAAAACAAAAACAAATCTATTCCACGGGAACTCTATATTTTTCCGGGATAAAAAATAGTTTATGTATTATTCTGATGTGTGAGCTATATTATTGTAAAGTTTCATCAAAATCCATTCAGTAGTTTTTGCATGAAAGAGTAACATCCATACTCACAAACTTTCACATTTACAATATTAGTATAGATGTCAAAAATTCGCGTTAATCTTATAAAGCAGCAATAAACAGATAAGACGATGTTTGTGTGTGTTCCCTATTTAAAAGATGACTATTATAGAACGAAACACAACGCCAATTTTTTAGTAATATCTAGTAATAATTTATTACTGCTCGTAAAAGCTCTTGATACTTATCGAGATGTACGTATCATAACGACAAATATAAATAACTAATAAATTAATTTAACTACATTCATATAAGAATATTTTCATACGTAGGATACTATTTTATTCTTATCTAACAGTAAAGAAAACAAAATGAAAAAAGACTTCAAGTTATATCCATTGTGTTATTATAACATTGCCTACGTGCGATAAGCGTCTATATTTTTTCTTTACTTTCTATGTTGGGGGTCCTTAGAAAAATAGATTTATAATTTGATAGAAAATGTAGTTATTGTTGGTTAAATATTTATTTAAATGAAACCTGCTATTTACAGGAAATGCAGTATTAATAATACAATGATTGGATGCACGCGTACAGCAGTGCTCTTAAGCTGTCGGCCACCCGGGCTCACCGATTATACCAAGCAAAACCTCTCATGTTCTTGTCCACATCCAAATAGACTTCAGTCATTTACATGTACTCCGGTATTTACGTCCAAATCTTAAGTTGTATTTAAAATTTTTGTCATTTTTATTATGTTTCTTGTTACTTAAGAAGACATTGACTTATAAATGATGGTACATGTCATTTATGTCCTGATAATAAATTAAACGTACAAGCTTCGCTATAAAAAGCTTATTTAATACAGTTACAAATGCTAAACGTATGCGTTGGTCATTTGTGCTTGAGCGACAAAAACATGATGAATTATTATCAACATTGATACTACGGACTACGATATCTATTCGTTTTTAGATTTGAATACAAAAAACATCTATAACTAACTGTAACTCTATCTCAACAATAAATATCGATAGTGTCAATATAAAACGTTCTTAATAATGTATAAAAATAAAAATGTGTTTATTGATTTATCGATTTATTAGAAGACTTACAAAGCGATATTTTGTTGGCCACTGTCTACTTTTTATGTGTAAATTTTTTGAGTGACATTAACTACTATGGAAGCGTGGGGGTTACTAGTACCTAATATTAAAAATGTTAAAGAGTGTATTTTTTTATCGCTAAAATAAACCAAAGCGGAAATATATACGCCTATTATCCTGGAAATAAGTTATAAACGGGATCACAGGATTAAGGATAGATATTATACTAAAACTACGTCTGTCCGTACGCAGAAATTACCCGATAATTGTTTAAGGACTGAACTAGTTACTAAACTTTATTACAAAAAATAGACCCATGATCCCATCATTCTTATTAGATACCTTAACTATGTGTATTTTACTTAATTAATAATTACAAAGCCGACATTGACTAAATGCTATTCACTTCTTTAAACAATTATATGGTCGTTTAACGTTTGACTTCCCACGATTGTATCTTTAACCATCGATGTAGACTTAGATCAAGCTAAGCTGCTAGTGTATACTTAACTATATCATGAAGAGGTCGCCATGCATTTTTTATGCAAAATAAAACATTTTCTCACGCGAACTTCTTTAAGCATATTTAACTTAATATGTAAACTCCTTTACACGGTATATAATATAACATATCCTGGCGTTATACTATTAATATACTCGTACGCTCGTCATCATAGCATTGGTTTTGTACACAGTATTTTTCAAGATTTAAAGGCAAAGGCAAACCATTTTATAAAACGCAATAATAAAATAATTACAGAAATTGAGAATGCTAGATCTGTTGGTAATTTGTAATAAAATTGGAATATATTATAAACTATAGATTTTGTGTTTATTTTCATATTATGTACTAAGATGATGTGTTCTAAGTTTTTTATGCAGGGATTGTACCTACAACCAGAGACCTTGCAGATATTGTCTAGCCTTTAACTTGTCGGTCGTTTATATATGAGTGTGCATAGTAATCCACAACAGAAGTTTCGAATTCGAAAAAAAGAAACAGTAGTAAGCTACTTTTTGCATGGATAAATTACGAACTACTGAAATATACTAATAGTAGTATCAGTTTTAGAGTTTTGGTATATTAGAT